ACCGATGCCTGGATGAGTAAACAGAACCTGTAACTTTATACATGAGCTTCTGTGAGTCCAGGAAGTTATAACAAAGACCAACAGACAGTTCGGGTCGGAGAGGAAGGAATCCGGGAACAAAGACACGGTTGAAGAGCTAAAGTACAGATTTAGCACAAAGAGAAGCTTCTCAGCCAACAGCTCAGAAACATCCCTACAAACCAGAACCACCCACCACCTCAGACCTTCTCTAAACCCCCCAAATAACCTTTTTACACTGAGACAAGCAGCACGTGTTCACATCTAAGACTCTGGAACTGTGAATTTTTTTTTTTTGTCTTTCTTCTTTTCTTTACAAACACACAACTGGACAGATTAGCAGCTGGTTCTGCATCACATCACACGTGAATGTAGCACAGCAGCACCAACACTGTACCAGTCCGCTCCATTAAATGAAGTAAAGCTGCTTCCCAACAGAACTTCTTGTTTCCACCGAGATCACATCAGAGGAGTCACGAGCTGGAGGTAAACAGTGGCTCAGCTCACTGCTGCTTCTCATCAATACTGAGTTTCTGACAACTTTCTGAGCTTTACTCGCGTTTTGCTTGAACACCTAAACTGATGTTAATTAGCCACAGCAGCTAATGACTGCAGTGTTTTAGCAGCAGAGGTGAAGTTTGCTGCAGTTACAAATCAATCAGCGCAGAAACAAGGGGCAGCTAACAGGCTAGCGTTAGCTAGCTCGGAGCTAACCAGCGGGCTGACCGGAGCTTGAGCCGTTAGCAGCAGGCTAGTTTGGGGCAGCGGTAAGCTAACAGCCGCCGTGTCGCTCTTTGTTCACCTGTATGAGCTCGTCCAGACTCTCCTGCAGACTGTTTCCCAGCGTGGTGTTTCTGTACAGCTGGTACGCCATGATGAGAACTACTAACAGCCGTGAAGTACCGACACACACACACAGCGAGCTAATGCAGCTAACGAAGCTAACGGCTGCTTCCGTCCGCAACAAGCTAGCAGCAACAAGCTAACAGCACACTGCCGCTGAGCCTCTTCAGAATAAAACCTGTCCGGGCGATTAAAAACTGAACGGAATGATATTTAAGAGGAGTTTTGAAATGATTCAGATGTAATTCACAGATCTGATGCTGGTCTTGGATTGAACAGCTGTTGAGTCCTCTCCTCATGTGTCTGTAAATATGACCACATGTGGGTTGTGTATTTATTTTGAAGGGCAGGCTTTTTGGGTGAGTGCCGCTAACTTGATGCAGAAACTGACTGAGAGCAGTTGTAATGCTGGTTTTTGTGGTTTTTGTCCTTTTTTAAATGTAGTTTTAACTCAGTTTGTTTGTTTGTGTCCGTGGAGCAGAGACACAAAATGGATGTGAAACAAACACAGAGACACAGAATTACAGAAAAAAGGCACAACAAGGTCCACGACAACCACGAAGAGACACAAAATGACCACAAATAGACAAAAATATCTGTAAAGTGTCACAAAACAACCACAAAGACCAACCACACGGAGCTGAGGCCTGAAGCCAACCTGCTGCTGTTTTACATGTTTCTGCTGTGACTCAGTAAAAACCCATTTGAATTGTTTTTGTGGCTCTGAAAGCAACCGAATGTGTAACTCGTGTGTCGTTGATCCGTTTCTGACCCGGTTCTGCTTTTGTGACAGATTCTCTTAATTTTAATTCACATAAACAGAGAAAATCTCGTCCGCTTGTGATTTAGTTCCACTCAAGAGTTTTTTAACCTGATGACGGATTCAACTGGACTGAACGTGTAGAACCACTAGATGGCAGCAGAACATCAACCTGTGGACGCTCTGCTCGGTTCCTCTGAGTTCCTGTTCGTCTGATGACATCCGTTTGTAAAGTAACGGAGGTTTTATTCTTTATTTTAATCACATTTTCATTGTCTGCGTCTCATTTCTAAACACTGACTGAATGGAGCTGCAGAGCTCAGCAGCATCTGGACGACTTCATGCTTCTGCCGAGAGTTTAGTTATATAAGACAAACACACAAAAACATAAAACCAACATGAAATCAACAAAACAACACAAAAAACAGCCAAACAGACACACAAACAGACACACGGCGGTTCAACAACACACCTGAACCGTCGACTCAGCGTTTCATCATTTAGCTGGTTGTCTGTGTGCAGGTCGGAGGTCACTGTCAGTCTGGAGGTTGTGTGTCTGTGTGATGGATGCTGTCGCTCAGCTGCTGTTTGTTAATGAACAGATCTGTGCAGCGACGCGCCGCGCTGACCCCTGACCTCTGAGCGCGCTCAGTCTGCACCCAGTTAAACAGCAGCTCACACAAAGGCCACGATAATAAAGTGAAGCGCTGCTCACATCCAATCAAATTAAGCCTCCTTCAATCAGGGAAACTGGGCTCATGCAGCACCTACTGAGCATGCTCAGTGGATCAGAGGTGTGTGAGACTCGCTGAGCATGCTCAGTGGGTCACATCAAACACACCTGTGAACAGGTGCATGCTGGTCCAGCTGCTGCTCATGTTCAGGTGTTGGAGAGTCTGAGGAGATGAAACACTGGTTCTGTGACACTGAGGAGGAACCAGGAGACCCAACAGAACCAATAAAACCAACAGAACCAGGAGACCCGAGATGGAGGCGCTCTGAGCTCCAGACAGGTGAGTCCAAAAACCTGCTGGTTTAAACTCAGTGAACAGAACCACAAGCTGAGACTGTGTGTTGTTGTGTTTGTGTGTTGTTGTGTTTGTGTGTTGTTGTGTTTGTGTGTTGTTGTGTTTGTTTGTGTGTTTGTGTGTTGTTGTGTTGTTGTTGTTGTGTTGTTGTTGTTGTGTTGTTGTGTTGCTGTGCGGCTTCCTGCTGCTGCTGCTTCTCTTTGTTTTCCTGTCAGTGAGGTTTCGATGAAGCCATTTGTGGTTCTGCAGGTTGTTGGTTCTGATGGTACACTGAGCTGTTCCTCCGTCTTGTTCTGCTTCATGTTGTGTGTCTGTGTTTCTTCTCTGCTGGTTTTCTGTCTGTTCTCAGTGTTTTTGTGGCTCTACTGATCCTTGTAGCTGCTCTTTGGGGCTCTTTGGGGCTCTTTGGGGCTCTTTGGGGCTGATGTCGCCTCTGGTTGGTTGTTTTGTGGCTCTTTACTGGTTTTAGGTCAGTTTGTGGTCACTGACCAGTTAACTGTCGTGTTTCTGCTTGTTTTACTTCTTTTTGTGGCTCTTTACTGGTTTTCTGTCTCCTTTACTGGTTTAGTGAGTCTCTGTGATGGTTTGCAGCTTCGTGGCTTTCAGTCATTTTTTTCTTTACGTCTCAGTTGTTCAGTGTTTGTTTGTTATCTGAGGTCTCACTGCTGTGTGTGTGTGTGTGTGTCTAGGTGTGTGTGTGTGAGTCTGTGTGTGTCGTTGTGTGTGTGTGTGTGTGTGTCTGTGTGTGTGTGTGTCTTTGTGCTGGTTAGCAGATCTTTTTATTTGATTTATTGATTTCTGGGTGATTCTGTGTTTTCTTTCCTCCACATTGTTTTTTTTTTTTCAAACCCTTTCGTGTTAAATTTCACATGAACGATGATTTTATTGGACAGAACCGTGAACGCTGAGCGACTCTGTGACCCGGTTTGACGTGGTTCTGTCTGAGCGGTGAGTCATGAGTCCAGTCAGCAGCGAGTGTTTGTGGGCGTGAGGAGGTGAAGCAGCTGATTAATGCGGCGCTGGCAGCAGCAGCTCCTCCATCCTTCACCCGTATGCTAATGAGCTCATTGCAGATGCAGATTTGCTCCTCTGAGGCCTCGACGCTAATTGTTCTCGTTGACTCGAGTAATTATTTGTTTGCAGGTTTAATTTGGAGATTTAGAAACGTGTCGATGCCACCTCATGATGAGTGTAGAAACCACATGATGGAATCAGAGACGCTGCAACAGCTGCTCCACCGACGGACTCGCTAACGAGACCAATTAGCAGCTTGGTGTCATGTTTGTGCTCCAACAGGTCGCTGCTGTTCAGGGTTCTTGTCCTTTTCTTTCTCAGATTGTTTCTTTGACTTGTTGCACAGAACTTAGTTTCCTGTTTGTCGTTGTTGTGACAGAAGAGTTTGATGCGTTCAGACGGTGAAACATTTAAGGAACCTGTGCAAGAGAAACGTCACATTTTCTGATGAGACAAACCCGTAAGCTGCAGACACGACTAGAACCAGCTACAGTTTAACGGTCTCTGGGTCGACTCGTGATCGAGATGTTGGAGGGATTTCTGGACCACGGAGCCTCGACAGTAATGACTGGAAGTGATTCGTTGCTCTGCTACTTCAAACAACATGTTGGTGGCCCAGACTGTGATGTTTGTGATTCATACTTTTTATTTTGTGTATCGTTGTCGTCTTCAGACTATTTCACTCATTAATAAGCCTCCTGTTTGCATCCAGAATCTGAGATCAAAAGTCGGCTGTAAGCTGGCCGTGATTTAAACTCAAAGTTCTGCAGAACTAAGTTCAGGTTGCGTTTAACGAAATGGATCTGGCTGCATGACACACCTGGACAGGTTCAAAGCTCAGACTGTGTGTCAGAGGAGCTGAACACATCCATCCATCATCTCTACACCTGAGTCCTCACCAGGGTCATGGGGGGCGGAGCCTATCCCAGCTGACTCAGGGTGAAGGCAGGTTCACCTGGACAGGTTCAAAGCTCAGACTGTGTGTCAGTCAAGTTATTCTTCTACAACCTTTCCAGTAAATCAGGACTTTATTGTGTATATTTATTTATTCCGCTACATTCATAAGCACCAGGCCTCGTCTCTACGTGTGAACACAGTCTATATTGTATTTTTCTATTTCTTGTTCAGCCTCTAACGTCTACGTTCATCCTCCACCAGGTGGTCACATGTTGGATCAATAAGGGCTGTCTAGATCTGATCCTAAACTCCATCATAAGATCAGGATCAGGGCTGGTCTTGGTAATCCTTAATTGATCAATACCGGCTAAAAACGAGGCTCCATTTTGCTTCTGTTGTCAGAGACTTGAAACAAACATCAGCTGTTCTGTTTGTCGCTGGGATCTTGGTTCACTGTTCTACGTCATCGTGGTTTGAATTAAAGTCTGAGTTCTGGTTGGAGGTCCTGAACCTCCTCAGAGTCTCTGTCATGGTCCTGTTGCTGCTAAACTCCCACAATGCTCTCTTGTGTTGCCATACAGCTAAACTCAAAACAACTTGACCAAAACATCCTAAAATGTTTTCAAAATGACCCGAATTTAGTCCAAAATGATTCAAAACGTTTCCAAAATTACTTAAAAATTTTCCAAAATGACTCGAGATGTGTCGCATTCAAACTTGCTGCTAAACTCCCACAATGCTCTCTGCTGCCACCAGGAGCTGTAGTCTGTAGACGCCTCCTCTGGTCCCTACAGGACTAAACAGGGAGAGGCTCCACCTGGTGGAACAACCAGGTACTGCAGCTGGTCTATGATGTGTTGTCGAGGAAAACGGTATCGACAATAAATATTAAACGACTCCGACTGAACCAACAAACCTTTAGTTGGGACGTACCAAAGACAAATCGTTCATTACAAATATAATCATTACACCAATCAGACGATATTTATTTTGCACTTTTCATACAAATGAAATGCAACACAAAGTGATTAAAAGATGAAAGCAATAAAACAATGGAAACAAACCACAACGTCATGGTGTAAAGGAAGGACAACAGAGGAACCGATGGGATTAAAAAGGAACTAAAAATAAATAAATAGAATAGAAAAATACTTTATTTATCCCAGTCTGGGAAATTACTGTGGTACAGCAGCAGAAAATACTATTTAAAAAAAAACTACAAATAAAATAGGTGAATAAAATAAAATAAATAAATAAATAAAACAACTGTACAAAATAACATAAAATCTACAAATAAAATATCAATGAGCAGGTAAAGGTTCATCAGAACAGAAGAAGAAAATAACTGTCAAATATAAAGTAATAAACAACAGAGAAACTTTAATATGTAGACAAGTGAATAAACGGAGAAATCAAGAAATGAAATTAGTTCTAAG